ACTTTATGTCTTTGCCTCACCCAAGTGATGGTTAAAGGCATGCCCTTCCCCTAATTTTATTTTCAATAAAAACACTAACAAGCATAATAATGTAGAGTTGAACAGATTATATTCTCTTGAGGGGAAAACACTAAAAATAGCCAAAATTCTGGAGCTTTATCAATACATGAGTGGATTAATAAAATCTGGTATATGTATACCGTGGAGTTCTACTCAGCCACAAAAAACAATGGTGATATAGCACTTCTTGTATTATCCTGGATAGAACTGGAACCCATTCTACTAAGTGAAATACCACAAGAATGGAAAAACAAGCACCGCATGTACTCACCGTCAAATTGGTATTAACTGATCAACACTTAAGTGCATATATAGTAATAAAATTCATCAGGTGCCGGGTAGATGGGAGTGTGGAAGAGGGGATGGGTATATACACACCTGATGGGTGTGGTGCACACCATCTGGGGGATGGACACGCTTGAAGCTCTGACTCGGGTGGGGCAAGGGCGATATACATAACCTAAATATTTTTACCCCCATAATACGCTGAAATTAAAAAAATTAAAAAAATCCTGGAGCTTTTTCTTGCATGATGTCAGAAAATAAATAATAAATGAAAAGATGTCAATTTGCCTTGGAGATTCTGATTACATTTTGATACAACAAAAATAAGACATATACTAGAAGAACTGGTCCTTGAATTGACAGAAAATCTGTCATTGACAAAATGAATGAATTTCAGCATGCAAATGACTGGAAGAAGACAGTTGAAAAGCCATCTTGAAGTGATGAATGGCAATTTACACTAAAGATTACACCATGATTTATGTAAAGATATTTGTTTTATTTTTATCTTTCTAAAAAAATTTGACATTCATAATCACATTACGTGGATATTTCTAGGGTCTACTAACCCGTCTGAGCTATTTGTGGGTTATAAAATATTTTGCCTTATTCCACACAGCATTATGAATCACAAAATAATATTAACTATATTTAGTTAACCTGAGATATGACTGGAATATTATGGAAATTTAGTTTCTGTATTTAAAAAAGGCCATCTCTTTGACATAAGTTTTTATATTTCTTTTTCAAATACAATTTAAAATTTTGAGAATATGTAGCAGTTACCTCTTAAATCGGGGACCAAACTTACATTTGTACTGGCCCAAACTTATAATTTGAATTATTCTCTGAACTCGTCATTCATTTATTCATTCATTCATTCAACAAATCTTTATAGAATGCTTACCATGTGTCAGGTGTTGTGACAAGTATTTGGTTAGGTGCTGGACAACAATCTAAGGAATTTGACAAGACAGGTGTGGCCCTAGCCCTCGTGAAGCAAACAATCTAGCATAAAAACAGAATTTCCAATATAGTGTGACAATGCGACAGTGAGAGAATTACAGAGGACATAGTAGTACACAGGAGAGAACTTAAGTCAGACATGGAGTAGGATGAAGTTGGCATCCTTCCTAGAAGAAAGCCTTCCTAGAGAAAGGTATATCCAGACTGTAGCTGAAGGACTTAAACAACAGAAGGCCGAGAAGGCTGTGGGCAGAGGGGCTCTTTCCACTCTTCCTCTAGGAAGAGGACATTTGTAAATGAATGGGAAGAGGGAGCTAGTGTTTGGTTTGAGAAATAAGCAAATTTAGAAAAGTATGGTAAGAAATGAAATAGGGCCAATTCCTTTCAGGCTATATTAAGATACTGCCATTTTCTTCTGGAGCTGAGAGGGAGGAATTGAAGGGTTTTAAACAAGGGAGTGAGAGAATCACATTTGCATTTTAGGAAACACACACACACACACACACACACACACACACACACACACACACACGAGCATGTGTGAGTTACTACTTAGGAAATTTTTAGAGCATAAAACCAGAAACAGGAAAGCTGATTAAGAAGCTTCTGTAAAAACCCAGGTGAAAGAGGGTAGTAACCCAGATCATGGAAGTGGCAATGGGAGTGGTGAGAAGTAAAATGCTTTTATGGTACTTAAATCCATGTTTTAATATTGAAATCACCAATATTTGTTAAATCAGTTAATATGAGTGTTTGGGATTGGTGAGAGAGAAGTTAGGAGAAAAACAACAGGCAGAGGAAGGGTGGACTGGAAAGGACATTGGGAAACATCAGCTAGGAGGATGGAGGAAAACAGTCTGGTTGTCACCTAAGTCAAACAAAAGGAATGCATTAAGCAAGAGGTAATAATGTCTTTTTTTTTTTTTTGAGACAGAGTCTCATTCTGTTGCCTTGGCTAGAAGCTAGAGTGCCGTGGCGTCAGCCTAGCTCACAGCAACCTCAAACTCCTGGGCTCAAGCAATCCTACTGCCTCATACTCCCAAG